GAGACCACCACCCACCTCACTACAACCTCCTTTCAGGTAGTTGTAGAGAGCGATAAGGTCTCCCCTCAGCCTCTTCTTCTCCAGACTAAATAATCCCAGTTCCCTCAGCTGCTCCTCATAAGACCTGTGCTCCAGACCCTTCACCAGCTTTGTTGCCCTTCTCCGGACATGCTCCAGCAACTCAATGTCCTTCTTCTAGTGAGGGGCTCAAAACTGGACACAATATTCAAGGTGCAGATCCACCAGTGCCGAGTACAGGGGGACAATCACTTCCCTGCTCCTGCTGGCCACACTATTCCTGATACAAGCCAGGATGCTCTTGGCCTTCTTGGCCACCTGCGCACACTGCTGGCTCATGTTCAGCTGGCTGTCAGCCAACACCCCCAGGTCCTTTTCAGCCAGGCAGCTTTCCAGCTGCTCTTCCCCAAGCCTGTAGCGTTGCATGGGGTTGTTGTGACCGAAGTGCAGGACCTGGCACTTGACCTTGTTGAAACTCATACAACTGGCCTTGGCCCATCAATCCAGCCTGTCCAGGACCCTCTGCAGGGCCATCCTACCCTCGAGCAGATCGACACTCCCACCCAACTTGGTGTCATCTGCAAACTTACTGAGGGTGCGCTCAATCCCCTCATCCAGATCATTGATAAAGATATTAAACAAGACTGGCCCCAAAACTGAGCCCTGAGGAAAACCACTTGTGACCAGCCATCGACTGGATTTAATTCCATTCACCACAACTCTCTGGGCTTGGGCATACAGCCAGTTTTTTTACCCAGTACACCTGCCTAGGCCATGAGCCGCCAGCTTCCTTAGGAGAATACTGTGGGAGACAGCGTCAAAAGCTTTACTAAAGTCCAGGTAGATGACATCCACAGCCTTTCCCTCATCCATTAGGCAGGTCACCAAGTCATAGAAGGAAATCAGGTTGGTCAAGCAGGACCTACCTTTCATGAACCCATGCTGGCTGGGCCTAATCCCCTGGTTGACCTGCAAATGCCTGGTGTTTATTGGGTTTTGGGCACTTCTTGGCCAGTTACTTGACCATGCTTTTGCTCTTCCATGTGTGTTTTTGGGAACAGCTCATGCAGTGGCTTTTCCTGGGGGAGGGAAGGCATGCAGCAGGCTCAGAGCTGGGGTCTCCCCCCCCACACCTCCATCTACTTTTACCACTCAGTAACAAGCCCAGAGCTTTCACAGCAGCTTACAAATACTTTTTAAAGGCAAATTTTGCTTCTTTCCAGAAGAGGCAGCAGCAGGAGGTCGCATCAATGTGTCAGTGTACGCAGTCTACCCCGATGGAATCGGCAAACCAAGCTCCAGCCAAGGTAAGCCCAGTTAGGTGGAGAATTTACTGCTTGCTGCAATGGAGCTGCAGAGCTCAACTTGCTGTTTCATTCTTGATGTTCCCACAATCTGCCAGTTTTGCAGAATTACTTAGTTTTAGAAACAAGATGTAAAGCCCTCCCATTGACCAGAGGAAAGCAGGGCTCTAGATGAAAACCTCTTGGCTGCAGGACATGAAAAGATATTTTTGTCAATGCGTCTGTATGACCACCTTCTCTAGCTGATCTTTACTCCTGTGCACAGATCTAATGCATGTGAGAACCACATCTTACTTCACAATATACACCAATGGAGTTGTTCTCCCTTTTTGTGGTAGAAAAGATGAGGTTGCCACTTTGCACATTTGACAATAAAATGTTATAGATCAACCAAAACATAAAAAACAACTTACAGAGACCCACTGGCCAAGCTGCAGCCTGCCTTTTCTTACCTGGAGTGGGAAGCAGGCAGGTTTCAGTTCTAGAAACTCTTTTAGATAAGAGTATGGGCCAATTTAGAAAGGAAATTAAGGACTGTCATCATCTCCAGCACTGTGTGCATTGGCTTTGGCTGTCCTCAAGAGCTGGGCATACTGAGCTTCCCAAGCTGTTCCATCCTGCTGCTGATCCTCATCCAGGTGAACCAGGATAATGCATGCACAGTTCAACATCTGAGCACTGAGGACATCTACCAGCACCACCATACCTGCTCCATGGACACCACAGATAAAACATCTGCATTTATGGATGCTGCACACAGTGTCCAGTGGTGGCTGGGCAGGTTCATGGAGACAAGGCAGGGCTGAGGTCAAGTCATGAAGTCAGCCCATTGGTCAGGGTTTGGACCTTCAGAGCTCCTCCAGCATAGCCCAGGCAAGGGCTGAGTGGCCCAGGGCTGAGCTTAAATAGCCCCCTGGGCAGGGGTGTGGGTGGAGGTCCCAGGTGAGGCTGGTCAGGGCCATTAAGACCTGTTAGTGCCCTGACAGAGCTAGCTGTAGCTGCAGGCAGTGGTAACACCTGAGGATGTCATCAGTTCACCATCCCATGCTGTGATGCAATTTTAGGTGGGTTATTTGAAGCTGCTCAGATACTTTCTCTATGACAAACTGGCTCTGTGTTTCTGGTTAGCACCCCTCGTGGCTTTGAGAAGGTCAGTTACTCCATTTTTTCCCAAGAAATGGAAACAAATATTCCTGACTGGTTCATCAGGCTGTTCATGGATGTTAGCCCTGGCTATTAGGTGTTATCCTCACGGACACACTGACAGCCTTCAGCTCTGGGCAGGTCGGGGTATGGGCACCTCCAGCTCTAGCCACATGAATTTCCAGAGTCCTGATCCTCAAATGGGCTTAAACGTCAGCAGCACGTCTCCGTCTGCATGGAAGGGGGAAGAGCTGGGTGTCAAAAGGAGGATGCTCTAACCTTTGCTCTAGCAAATGGCTTAGAAATGTGTTAAGTCCTTAAAAATAGAGACTTCATCCTTAGTGGCTGCATAGACTCCTTTAACAAAACTTGGGAGTTCATGTGGAGAAGTACCAACATGAGACAGCAGTGAAGCTCGTGTCTGTGACAAGGTTTGCTTCCAAAGCACCAGCACAACCCACAGCTGACACCCACAATAAAGTCTCCAACTTGAACCCACAGATTGAACCTCATTCTTCATCTTCCTTATTCAGATTGAGCCCATCTCAGGCATTACTGTAATCATATTATTTTTTTTTTAATTTATACAAGTTCCATGTGCCAGTGACACCTGCCCCCCAAAACTGCTGAATTCCAGGCTGCAGAATAATGTGCTCCATCACTTTCCTTCCACATTCCCATATATTTGAGATGCTTTGCGGTGTCTGCAGCGCACTTCAGCTGACTGGACTTGTACTGCAAACACACTGTGCTTAGGGAACTGAAATACTTGAGCTCCAGGAGCTCTGCTAGGAGACGCATATGCTTCAAATGCACAAAATCAGAGACAGTACCTTTTCTGGGATTTTTTTTTTTCCCTTTGGATAGGAAGAAATTGCATTTGGCCTTTCATTTGCATTGGTCCTTGCAAAGCAAGTACAAAACAGAAGTGGAACAGGGCTTGCTCCACCAGGTTCAGATATACTCCATCCTTTGACCACTGCAGTTTCATTCATTAAAGGCTGTGAATTCCAAAAGGTTTTCACTCATTTTCATCTGAACCAGTATCAATTGATCAGTTACTAGCTCTGTTGCAGAAATCACTGGCTGAAATCAAGTGGCCCATGTTTTTTAGGATATATGTATATATTATATATACACATAGGATACGTTATGCTGGATAACCTTGTCTCGGCCAGTTGAAGCTCTGTGATTGCAGATGAGGATGCTAGTTGCTATTCTTATTAATGCTGATCCTCTGCTTAAATGCGTTCAGCCCTCTGCTGCCCCAATGTTTGGCTTGAGCGAGCTGATGGCCCCACTCTGTGGAGGAGGTGGCTTCTCATCCCTGTCTTGCCGGGACAGCCAGCTCTTGGGGACAGAGGGGCAAACATGGGGGGCAGATTTTTCCTAAAGCAGTCAGCCAACTGAAGGGTATGGAGGAGTTTTCACACATGCAAATGAGGGGTTTCATAAAGCACCTGGATCCTTGTACTTCTGAAGGTGCACTTGCGAGTATGCCCTTCCCAAAGTTCCCAGTATTGGCAGTTTGCTGTCTTGGGAAAATCCTGCTGTCAGTGTGAGCTGTGCTTGCACAGATGACTCTGCAAAAGGGGCCCTTTTTGTTGCCAGCTGCTCTGGGGGCATTTCCCTTCCTTCAAATACAATGTGGACCCACAACCACATCATCAGCAATGCTCACTGCCATTGAAAGATGTAGCAAAATCATAGGGAGCAGGGCTGGAAAGGACAATTACCTGATCCCAAGGCAAGAGCAGCTGTATTGCTTCCATTCCTGACAGATGTTTGCTGAAACTGCTCTTAATTTCCAGGAAAAGGCAACCTACCCAGGTGGTCCTCAGCCTTGCTGCTAGAGCAGTTGTTCTTTCGTGACCTGTGCTTTAACTGCTGCAGTCCAAGATGATGATTCTCATCCTGCTCGCGGTGAAAGGGGACTGACTACCTTCCTTGTCCTTGCTGCAGCACTCCCTTGCCACCCCAGCGTGCCTTTGCCCTGTGTGCTCTGCCCAGGATGCTCTGGCAGGGCACATTGTTGTGAGGGCAAGCGTGCATGCTACGCATGTCCCAGCAGAGCCCCTTTTTCTTGCAGGGTGGCCCCGACCCCAGCAGATCAGTCCAGCTGAGGTCTGCCTGCAGGGCACGGTGGTTCCTTCCCTCTCTGGCTGTGCTGCTCATGCCTGGCCCAGGGTGATTGCCCCAGTCCCCGTGCAGGGAGGTGACCCTGGGGAGATGCGGTGCGTGGCTTGTTCTGACCACAGAGCTGCGGTTCTGGTCCAGGCTCCAGGTTCAGTGCAACACACAGCCCAGTGGTGGGATTGCCCTTGGCCTGGACCCTTACCCCTTTTCTGTAGCAACAGTGGTGCCACGTATTTGTTAAGGAGAAGGCATCCCAAGGGAATTGCTGAATTTGGCTAGGAAGAAAGCTTGCTTCTTATTTTAGCAAAAACACACTTCTTGCCATGGCAGGCTTTTTAGCTGCAGATGTTCCCTCACCACACAGCCCATCACACAATCAGATATTGTCAGAAAATTCAGTCCCATAGGGTTCAGACACTTTGGGAAATAATCTGTAGGTGCTCATGAAAAATGATGTACAATTCCTCAGGAAGACTAAATTCTTGTTTCAGATACTGAGGGAAGCGATGTGCATGAAAGATGTTTTGTAAGTGGTGTTATGTGTTCATCAACATCTCGTTTAATTGGATCTCTGAGAAATAGGAGATTGTGTAGAGTTCAGCCAGAGCTGGAGTTACTAATTACTTTAGTGGGCTTTATTTTTCTCATTATACCATTATTTCTAAATAATTTTAACAAAATAAAAACAAGCCATAATTTCTATGTCACCCACTGTCCTCTAAATGCAGTTATGGACATTTCTTTCCTCTCTCTGTTTAAGTTCCTTCAGAGGACCAGCTCCTGAGTAGCACCTACAGAGAGATCTCCCATGGTAAGAAGATAGTAGCTCAGACTTGGTAAGCCAGACTTTCTCCTTGACCAGAAGTGGAAGTTTTAGCCCAAGCAGCACCTGCAGCATCCGGTGATGGTGAAGCGAAAGCTCCCTTACACTATGGAGAGGTCAGGGCCAGAAAAGCAACTTTTCATTTGATGGAGACATGGACTGCATGGCAGGAAAGGCTGCAGTGCTCTCACGGCTCAATAGCACCCGTATAATGCATGCCTTAAGTTTTGCTTTCTTATGAGACTTATAATATAATGTACATTACAACAAGTAGGAGATAAGAAAACAAGGAAAATGTAAGATGTTAACATATAGCATAACAGCGACAGACTGTTTCAACCTTGCAGTTTGAACCCAAGACTCATTTAAACATTTCCGATCCATTTTTCTAACTTTGGTTATGCTTCTGGTTTGCACATCTTCTGGTAAAGATTATGTTATGATTGTTGCAGTACTTAAACCAAAAGCAAAACCAACATAAGCTGAAGAATTCACTTCAGCATTTCTGGAAGGTAAGGTTGCATAGGAAATGGTTAAACACAGTGACCATACTTCTTTGAATTACTTGGCTGAACCCTCCCATGCATTTTGACTGGGAGGCAATGGTCTGGTCACAGGACAACGCAGATGGGACAGCAGTTTTGGTTTTGCTTTTGTTATGGCTTTGCTTCTTAACCAAGAAGAAAAAGGGCAAGTGAAATGCTGAAGGCTGCTTTGTGAAAGATCTGCCCTTTATATCAACAAAGGAGGTGGCAGATGGGGCGCTGGAGCAGGGCCACCCGCTTAACCTTTTTCCTCTCTATCCTTTTTCAGATGACGACATTGGAGTTTTCCTGGGACTGGGCATCAGCATGGTCATATTTTTGGTTGTTTTTGTAATTCTGATGTTTAAAAAATCAGCCAGAAAAAGGTATTGCTTTCTTCACTATTTTTTCCTTATTTCCAACTCCTGCCTTTCTTCCAGAATATTTTAAAATTAACTACAGAAACCTGCTCTTACTAAGGATGACTTCTCCCATTAATCATATTGCTATATGAAAAGACATCTATGCTCTCTACAGTAAGGTAGAAACCAACAAAAAAAGTAAAAATCACTCCTTTGTCAATGCCAGGCTTAGGGACATGCAATATATTATTACACAGATATAAGGGGTAGAAAAAGAGAGGAAAAAAATAGCCCCTGTAGTTAAGTTTTATCCTAGGACTTGTTACTCCCAGTTTTGACTGAGGAGGGGATGAGGAAGCCCCTTGTGCCTGGACCCCAAGGGACAGGCAGAGGTTGGAGAGTGCAACAGTGGAACAACTCAATGGGGAGAATCTTAATGCTGGTTTTTACACTGACTGCTGTTCGCTAGGCACCCTCACAAACCAACACTCCTTCTGTCCCAGTTTGCCATTTAACTGGAATAGGGATGTCCAGGAGTCCAGGTACTGCTGTACCCAGCACAAATCCATGGGAATGGATGACCTCTGTGGTGCAGAGCTACGGGCTGGGCCTTCCTGACAAACAAAGAAATAGGGGAGAGGAGACCTGAGGCTCGAGGATGTCAAGGGGCTGCCTCTTCCAGCTCCTGAATCCAGCCTAATTCTTCCACTCTTGATGTAATTGTGAAACACAAGCATTTCAGCAACAACAGGGACTGTGTATTTTCCCAGGAACACAGCAATGCACCAGAATGTCAGCAAAGCTCAGTGAAATTAAAATCTCTTGTGAATGACTTTCATTTCTGCAGCAGCTTTGGCTGTAGGAAAATCAGCTTTCATTACTGCTGTGTATTTGATTTCATCAGTTCAGGACACACATGCCTCCTCTGGTTCATACACATAATTTGGTTCTCCCCTCACCCCCGAGTTTAGCAACATTTTCACATACGGACAAGTTTTACACAAGGGATTTAACTAGCATAATTTAGCTTCCAGAATCAAACCAAGAGGAATAAGGTTGAAAGATGAAGAGCTAGAGTTCAAATGGGAGAACCCCCCCATACAGGGTAAACCTGGGGCTTCCAAGCTGTCCATGAAGGATGGGTACACTTTGTGTGTTACCCTTCTGCCAGGGGACAATTTCATCCTGCATGAACAAATGACTAATAAAATGGACTAAATTTGAGGTTTTATTTTTTCTTTTTGGTAAAGAATTAATGCCATCGTTGTGTTGCTCTTGCCAAAATGGCTGTTTGAAGACTTTCCCCGCATGGAAAACAGCAATGTGGTAAAGTCACTCCAGGTAATCGCACCATTATCTCCCAGCTTTTCTTCACTTAGAATCACAGAATCATAGAATGCTTTGGGTTGGAAGGCACCTTTAGAGGTCATTTAGCCCAACCCCCCTGCAGTGAGCAGGGACAGATTTAACCAGATCAGGGTGCTCAGAGCCCCGTCCAACCTGACCTTGAACATTTCCAGGGATGAGGCATCTACCACCACTCTGGGCAACCTGTTCCAGTGTTTCACCACCCTCATTGTAAAAAATTTCTTCCTTACATCCAGTCTAAATCTACCCTCCTTTAGTTTAAATCCATTACTCCTTGTCCTGTCACAACACTTGTCTCCCCTTAGACTAAAGCTCACTCCGGAGCTGTGAGAAACATGGATGGGAAGAGAATTAAGCTCTGTGGGACCAGGAACTGATCAGGAATCATTTCCCAGGCATTTGCAAGGTGCATGGGAGCCCAGCTTAGCTGACGTCTTTAAACCTTGCCTCAATATACACTTTATCTAATGGCCACAGTTGACTCAAGCTGCCCTTGAAGTGCATGGCGAAGCATGGAGACATACACAGCTGCTCCCCTGTCTTCTCTTGTCCACCTTGCTGGGGTCTATTTCACAGGAGGGGTTGGATGGGAGAGGTGGGAAGGAAGATGAGATGAAGACAAGAAGTCATTGCTTCATTGCTTTCATGGGATGCCCTAATGATCTCTCTCCTGTTGGTAAATTTTCTTTTCCAGGAAAAGAGCGATTTCACAAGTAACAGTTTCCCTGAGCCATTCTTGGACACTAGTGACCCCACAGTTACAGAGATAGAGGAGGTGCCAGCACATGAGGAGTACAAGAATGTGACCACCAAAAGGAAGCCCAGCAGAGAGGTACCCGAGGACAGGGAGCACCCGAGGAGCGTGGCACCTGCCACTGTCATGGCCCCTGAGCAGATCAGTGACTACAAACCTCAGGTGTCTGATGGGAATCTGCTGGGGTACGTAGCTGCCAACATTTACCAAGCACAGCCCCCTGCAGCCCTCCCAGAACCGGAGACGAACATCTTCTTCAGAGACTACACAAGCTCTTTTCCCCACCTGTGGGATGGGGAGGGAGGGGGCCACCACGTCTGTCTGCTGGAGAAGGTCAACCTCATCTTAAACAACAGCCGGAGCGGGCAAAGCCACACATTCGGCTCGGTCCAGGGGGGACACAGCTCCCTCCTGGAGAGCCAGTGGAGACCCACGCTGGCCAGTGACGTTCAAGAGCAAACGCTGGTCCCTGATGAGCTGGTCTCCTGCCTGAGAGCCATGAATGGGGAATCAGTGGATATAAAGACCTGCTTTCCTCAAAGCATCAGAAGATTATTTTGAGAGAAATTGTAATTGCGATAAAAGAACCAAAGCGATGACCATGGCACACATCAGCCTTCAAGATTGCAAACAGCAGAACTGGAGCAAAACTGCAAATCTGAAATTCACCCTCTTAGTTGACTACAAATACTTGTGGCTGCCTGGAATACTCTGGCCGATAAATCACAATTTTAAACTTGCCTCATATTTTCACAGGCATAAAAGCATACACTTGGATTCCTGTAAGAACTGAAATACAAAGCAGGTGATTTTTGCAGGATGGAATATGCTTCAATTATTATTCAAAATCATTCTCTTGTTGAATATTTGGAGCATTTCATCCCTGGAGCTGATTGCAGTTAAGATAGATAAAATGATCCCTTAGACAGCCTGACTGAATAGTGTAAAATGTCTTGGGATCACTCCTAATGAAGAGACACTACACCGAGGAGGATTTATATATTGCACAGCAGAGATGGGTACCAAGAACATGAAATCTTTTCTGTATGACAGAATAACCCAATTTCATTTTCCCTCCCATTCAATAATAAAAAACACATCAGGTAAGAACAAGCCTTCATCGTCTGCCAGACTGATTTATAGTCTCTCTAAATTGGTCACTGGGAGGATTCTTCACTTTGAGAGAAGGATTTATCACCTCCTCACAGCAGCTTGTCAGCGCCTCAGCCTTGGTGTGCGAGGCAGAACGTGGCACAGCGAAACGACATTTATTTGGCACGTGGCAGGGAATTCAGATCTTCTGAAATACAGAAAATGAACT